GTTTGTTTGTTTGTTTTTGTTTTTGTTTTTTTTTTTTTGTTTTTTTTGAGGTAGGCCTGTAATGCTATGAACTTCCCTCACAGGACTGCTTTCACTGTGTCCCAAAGATTTTGGATTGTTTTATTTTAATTGTCATTTGTTTCTAGGATGTGTTTTATTTCTTCATTGATCTCTATGGTAACCCACTCATTGTTTAATAGTGTGCTATTCAGCCTCCAAGTGTTTGAATTTTTGTGATTGTTTTTACTGTAGTTGATTTCTAATTTTATGTTTTTACTGTAGTTGATTTCTAATTTTATGCCACTGTGATCTGACAAAAAGCTTGATATGATTTCAATCCTCTTGAATTTGGAGAGACTTTGCCTGTGTCCCAATATGTGGTCTATGTTTGTCCCATGTGTGCTTGAGAATAATGTATATTCTGTAATTTTGGGGTGGAATGTTCTAAAGATATCAATTAATTAATCTTATCTAGTGAATCATTTAAATATTTGGTTTTTTGCTAATTTTTTGTCTAGAGGATTTATCCAGTGATATTAATGTGTTATTAAAGTCTCCTACTACCCTGTTTCTCCAAAAATAAGACAGTGTCTTATATTAATTTTTGCTCCCAAAGATGCACTAGGTCTTATTTTCAGGGATGTCTTATTTTTCCATGAAGAAGAATACGGTACACATTTATTGTTAAATGAAAATAAAGGAAATGTATTACCTGTATATGGTATGGTAGTACGGTAGTTGTCAACACAAACCAGACAAACTGTGAATCCTGCAATATCAAGAATTTACTCATTTATTCAATGACAATCATGTCATCATCTTCTGGAATATCATCATAACAATCCAATTCCTGAATTTCCTGGCAAATTTCTTGTGACTCCATTCCTTTCAGAATCAGTGGACCAAATCTCTTATGTTTAGCCTGGGGGTGGGGGCTTATTTTCAGGGGATGCCTTTTATTTCACTCAGAAAGAAACCTGTAAGTAGGTCTTATTTTCGGAGGATGTCTTATTTTCGGGGAAACACAGTATGATTGTGTTGCTGTCAATCTGTCCCCTGATATCTTCCAGAAATTTTTTTATGCACTTGAGTGCTCCAGCTTTGGGTGCATAAATGTTTACCAGAGTTATATCCTCTTGTTGTATTGATCCCATTAGAATTATGAAGTGGCCTTTATTGTCTCTTGTTATGGTCTTCACTTTGAGGTCTATTTTGTCAGATATAAGTATTGGTACCCTAGCTTTTTTTTTTTTTTTTTTTTTTTTTTTTTTTTTTTTTTTTTTCATTTCCATTTGCCTGATATTTTTCCATCCCTTCACTTTCAGTCTGTGTGAGTCCCTTGTTCTGAGGTAGGTCTCCTGTACACAACATATATATATGGGCCATGTTTTCTTATTCATTCACTCACTCAATACCTTGTGATTGGAGCATTTAATCCATTTACATTTAATGTTATTATTGATAGGTACTTGTTTGTAGCCATTTCTGTACTTCATGCCTGTGTTCCTTCCTCCATTTCTATTTCTTCTTTTTACAGAATTCCCTTTAGCATTTCCTGCATTGCTGGCTTGGTCGTGATAAACCCCCTCAGCATTTTTTTTTTTTTTTTTAACGCTCCTGATTCAATTTTGATTGATAGCCTTGCTGGGCAGAGTATTCTTGGGTTCAGTCCTTTGATTTGCATCACTTTGTATACCTCCTTCCATTCTCTTCTAGCTTGATATGTTTCTGTTGAGAAATCATTTGATAATGATGGGGGATCCTTTATAGGTAACTCTTTGTCTCTCTTTTGCAGCCTTTAATATTCTCTCTTTGTCATTAACATTTGCCACTGTAATTATAACATGTCTTGATGTGGGTCTTTTGGGATTCATCTTGTTGGGACTCTCTGTACTTGTGTAACCTTTTTCTTCCCCATATCTGGGAAGTTTTTTGTTTGTTTGTTTGTTTGTGTTTTTTGTTTGTTTGTTTTGTCATTACTTCTTCAAATAGATTTTCTAATCCTTGCTGCTCTTCTTGTCCTTCTGGCAGCCCTATTATACGTATGTTACTTAATTTTGTGTTTTCTCAAAAATCCCTTATGCTCTCCTCCTGCTTTTTAATTTTTTTCTCTAGTTGCTGTTCAGATTTAAGCATGTTTCTCTACCTTATCTTTTAACTCACTAATTTGGTCCTCTGCTTCTTCTAATCTACTGTTGAAACCTTCCACAGTGTTTTTTATTGTAGCTATATCACTTTTGATTTCTTCCTGATTTGTGCATAGGTTGTTGATTTTCTCATCCATCTAGTGTATGAACTATATTACCATTAATCTGAATTCTTTTTCAGTCATGTTGCATGCTTCCATTTCACTTATTTATTTCCTCTGGGGATTGTGTCATCTCCCTATTCTGACTATCCCCAGAAGGTTCAAACATTGAATTGCATGGGCTTGGGCCTGGCCGTGTGCAGTAGAAGCTTTGCACCACCTGAGTGTCACTGAAGAGTTCTGACACTAAGACATGCGGCCGCTGTGGTTTGATGGGAGCCACACTCATTCAGGATCAGAGTCACTGTCACTCAGTGTGGCCTCGTGTGCATACATAGAATCAGGGATCCCACCTGTGCCATGCTGAAATAGAGAACCCAATGGCATGTGCAGAAAATCAGAGTCCCCTAGCTCATGCTAGGAGTCAGAGTTCCCCTGTGCCTACTCCAGGAATTGAGTATCAGAGTCTCTGTTGCTTGGTGCAGCCTTGTGCCAAGAATCAGGTTTCCTGTGTGTGCGTGCACCAAGAATTGGAGTCACTTGCTCTTAGTGTGAATGCACTGGGAACCAGGGATCCCAGGCACAGACAATGAGAAACAGAGTCAAGTCACTGGTGCTCAGTGCTGTCTCTTGCATAGAGAATCAGGGACTTGTCTTCTTGGGGGGCCGGGTTTCACAGTACCACTATGTCAGCAGGAAATCCACTCCTGTGCTGTGGAAAACAGACTTCCATGTGCACTTGCCCAGAATCCATGTCGGGTGGCACTGCTGCTGTGAGTGGGCGTGGGGTTTGGTCACCCAATTGCATGGGAGGAACAGATTCTCAGTGTCCATGCACATGCCCAGGCTCAAATTCCTGCAATGCCTCTGTGGCCCTGTGCAAATGGTTGGTCTACCAGTTCCTATGGTGCTGCTGTTAGCCTGCAGGAAGGGTTATAGGCTCTGTGACTCACAGAAATCTGCAGCCGGGATGTCTGAATTCTAGGTGTTTGTGGCTCTGCAGCTATGGTTGCAGGTCTCTGTCCCCAGTAGCTGCAGGGTCCCAGTTTGTGTCTGAGACCAGGTTGGGTGGTGCTGAGGCCAGGATCCTATTATCAAGCAGCTATGTTTTTCAAAATGGTATGGTCTCTGTGCCCATGCTGCCGCCCCCAGAGTGTCCGCAGTGGCAGCGGGGTTCTGCCATGTAAGACTTCCTGGTTTTGCAGCCCCTGAAAAGACCTGCAGGATCTAACTCTCCCTAGCTCTCTCTCACACACACACACACACACACACACACCACACACTCCTCTATCACGCCCTCACTCTTTCACACTCTCTCCCTTCCTGCCTTCCTGCCAGTCACCATCTTTGGGTTCCAGGAATTATACTTTTTATTTGATTTTCCTTTCCTAATATTAATTGAGCTAGTACTTCAATAGGTTTGAAAGCACTTGGCTTTTAGTTCCCTATCTCCCAAAGCCCTAAACAAAAATAACCACCATAGAGAAATACTTTGTGTATTAGTCTGCTAGGGTTGCCATAACAACGTACAACAAACTGGAGGGCTTAAACAAAGGAAATTTATTTTCTCACAATTCTGGCAGCCAGCATTCTAAAGTGAAGGTGTTGGCAGGTTTGATTATCTCTACAAAGACCTTCTCTCCAAATAAAGTCACATTCTGAGGCACTAGGGCTTAGAATTTTAACCATTGGATTTAAGAGAAACTAGTCAATCCATCAGAGTTTGCTCACAGTAAATTGTTCTATGACTTTACATTTATCTCCTGACTTGTTTAATAAAATATAAAATTAGTACTCAGTAATAACCTGACTTTCTCTCTAGTGTTGAATAAAATTAATTTAACATTATCTATTTACATATTGCCTCTGTATTTCTAGTATCCTTTGTATTTATATCTTCACAAATGTAAACTTTAGCAAATCATAGTAATACTATGATTTGCTAAAGTTTCCATCTTCTTTTTATCTTATCTGGTTTGGATAAATTTAACTTGATTTACACACAAATGTAAGGGAACTTTGTGAAATAAAGCCATTTAAAACAGACTCTACCAGTTGGAGTACAAGGCCTGATTATGATAGGAAGATCAATTTACTGGTAGATACATCTGTTACATGTGATCTTTTTCTTCTGCTGCCAGGTTTCATAGTCTGTCTTATGGACTTTGCTACCATTTTAGTTTAGTAAAGCAATGACATTAGAGATCTGTAATATGTTTATTTTTTTTTGTCCTTAGAACTTACTAAGGACCTATTCTCTTTTATGAAGAGAAGTTCTTTAGGGGAATAGTCTAGCTTGTTTTAAAAGAAATGTAATTTGATATTTACAAATTGTTTCATTCTCTCAGCAAGCATTTATTGAGAACTGTGCCAACACTAGGCAAATATTACAGGCATACTCTCCTTCAGGGAACAAAAGTGAAAAAGAACAAGAACCATATTATTTCATTCATATGTGGGATATAAAAAAAAAAGCAACAGTGAACACACAGACTGCTGTCTGTGTCTTTGAGTACAAGAAAACAAACTCAAAGACACAGACAGAAGTATGATGATTACCAGAGGGGGAGAGGATTAAAAAGGTAAAGGGAGTCAAATATATGGTGACAGAAAGAGACTAAACTCGGGCGCGTGAATGGAGGTGGCCGTGGCAGAAGTGTCCGGCAGGCCAGGTCCCTGCCGCCACCATGCTCCCATTGTCACTGCTGAAGATGGCTCAGAATCACCCCATGTTAGTGGAGCTTAAAAACAGGGAGACGTACAAAGGTCAGCTGTGACAACTGGATGAACATCAACCTGCGCAAGGTGATATGCACATCGAGGGATGGGGACAAGTTCTGGCGGATGCCCGAGTGCTACATCCGCGGCAGCACTGTCAAGTACCTGTGCATCTCTGATGAGATCATTTACATGGTCAAAGAAGAGGTGGTGGCCAAGAGTCGTGGCCGTGGTGGCCTGCAGCAGCAGAAGCAGCAGAAAGGCCGTGGCATGGAGGGTGCTGGACGAGGTGTGTTTGGCGGCCATGGCAGAGGTCAACCAGAAAAGAAGACCAGCAGGCAGGCGGGTAAACAGTGAACTGGCCCGGCGACCCCCAGAGACTTAAGCCCTTCCCCAACAAGTTGTACATCTGCTCCAGTCCATGAGTGTTCAGAACAAAAAAAAAGGAGGCAGGTGTTGGGAGACCCCACTTCTGCATTTTGTGGTTCTTTTGATGTTGTCTTTTTTTTTTTTTTTTTTTTTTTTTTGATAGAGGAAAGGGGAGAGAGAGAGAGAGAGAGAGAGAGAGAGAGAGAGAGAGAGAGAGAGAGAGAGAGAGACATCGATGTGAGAAAAACATTGATCTACTGCCTCCACCATGTACCCTGACTGGGAATGGAACCTGCAACCTGGATATGTACTTTGACTGGGAATTGAAATTGCAACTTTTTGTGTACAGGACAATGCTCCAACTAACCAAGCCACACTGGCCAGGGCATTAAGTCCTTATTTTTATTTTTATTTTTTTAAAGCCACATATTTCCAACTATTTCTATAGTTGGAAATATTATTTGGTTTTGATTTTGTGAAGTCGCAGCCAACTTGATTCCTGGAAGGTTCTGTGTTAATGCATCTGTACAGTCTTCCCCCTTGTGTTAACGGGGGCATTTTCAAACAGGTTTGTTTTGTATCTCTTGTTGGACCCCTGTGTGGAAAACAGATGGGAAGTTTTCATTTTAAGGTCTTTGCACTGAGGTTGACAGTCCAGGGAGTTTTCCTGGAACAGACCTGAAACTGTCTTTTCAAAACAAATCCACACAGACATGTGCCTCAGAAGCTGTTGTGGGGCCTTGGTTGGGCCCTGTTCCTTTGCCTTTCTCCCTCTTGTGTTACAAAAACAAAAACAAAACAACTACAGAGAGAGAGAGAGAGAGAGAGAGAGAGAGAGAGAGAGAGAGAGAGAGAGAGAGATTAAACCCTGGGAGGTGAGCACACAATGCAATACACAGATGATGTATTATAGTATTGTACCCCTGAAATGTATATAATGTTGTTAATGTTACCCCAGTAAATTTAATTAATTTTAAAAGACTGGTTAATTTTATTAACTAACTTTTCTGATTTCCCTAATTTTTTAAAATTTATTTTTCTTTTATTATATTAATGTAAATCAAATTTTATTTATATTTTCCCATGCTATAAACATTAACATTTCAAGAAAAACTATTTTAAACATAATAATGTTACATACATTAAACATTAATAGGTCAAGGAAAAAAATTTAAATATATTAATACTAGGGCCCCAATGCATGAATTCACGCACATTGAAAGGAACTATGGGCCGCAAAGCTGTGATGGGCACAGGGGCAGGTCTTGGCCCATCCTCCGCACCCAGACCCAGCACTCCCACAGCGAACCTTGGGCCCATGTCTAACCACAGCCTACTCCCACCACTGCTACTCCCACTCATTGAAAGCTCTAGCTGCTCACACCTGCTGATGGTGCAGAGCCATTAGAGTTGGTGACAGCAGTGCGTGCAAGCAGGGCTGTTGCTGGCAGTGGGTGTGAGAGGTGGCTGCTGGCCCCAATCACTCCTCAAGGGCCGGGGGAGGTGGAAAAGCCCTGAGGGACGATCAGGTCCAGCAACCATTGCTCACACCCACTGACAGCACCGAGCAATTGGGGCCAGTGCTGGGTGCTGGCTGCAGGTGTGAGCAGAGCTGGTGCCAGCAGCAGGTGTGAGCACCATGCAGGACTGTGGCATGTGTGAGCAAAGAATTTTCAGTAACCACTAGAGTCTTGCCCCGATGACAGCGATGGGTGACCTGCCTTGATCTAGCGCCCTTGCTCACCTGCTCCAACATCCAACATCCTGCCACAGATGATGCCTGCCATGTTCCGTGTGCGACCCCTTGTGGTCAGCGCACATCATAGCAATGGGTTGTTTGGTTGTTCACTTGTTCGGCAGTTCAGTCTACTTGCACATTAAGGTTTTATATATATGGATTACCAAAACTTTACTAGCATAGTATAATACAACAAAAGTTGTGGAAATATTAAAAATCTCCAAAAAACAGGATTACTTCTATTATATTCTAACATTTTTTTCCTAGGGCTGTATTTTTGTTCATCAGTTTATATTCATTATTCCATAAATAAGTGAGCTCATGTGATATTTAACTTTCTCCAGCTGGCTTATTTCGCTTAGCATAATGCTCTCCAGTTCCATCCATGCTGTTGCAAATGGTAAGAGTTCCTTATTTTTTTTTACAGCAGCATAGTGTTCCATTGTGTAGATGTAACACTGTTTTTTCATCCTCTCATCTGCTGATGAGCACTTAGGCTGTTTCCAAATCTTATCTATTGTAAAGTATGCTGCTATATACATAAGGGTGCATATATCCTTTCTGGTTGGTGTTTCTAGTTTCTTGGGATATATTCCTAGAAGGAATTTCTGGGTCAAATGGAAGTTGCATTGTTAATTTTTGTGGAAATTCTATACTGCTGTCCACAGTGGCTGCACCAGTCTGTATTTCCACCAACAGTGAAGAAGGGTTCCTTTTTCTCCACATCCTCCCCAGCACTTGTCGTTTGTTGATTTGTTGTTGATAGCCATTCTGACAAATGTGAGATGGTACTTAATTGTCATTTTGATTTGCATTTCTCAGATGATTAGTGCCTTTGAGCATGTTTTCATGTCTCTTGGCCTTCTGTATGGCCTCTTTTGAAAAGTGTCTATTTAAGTCCTTTCCCCATTTTTTATTGGATTGTTTATCGTGTGTGTGTGTGTGTGTGTGTGTGTGTGTGTGTGTTGTCAGGATTCTAAATAATGGTTCTTTTTTTATTGTCTAAAGTTTTACATGTCTGTTTTTCCCCAATTGACATCCCCCCCAGACATTCCCACCCTAAGCAAGCCCCCCCACCCCAGTGTCTGTGTCCATTGGTTATGCTAATATGCATGCATGCAAGTCCTTTGTTTGCTCTCTCACACACACCCCACCACCACCACCACCATTTGTCTTTGGATCTATTCTTGTTCATCAGTTTATGTTGTTCATTATATCCCACATATGAGTGAGATCTGTGATGTTTAACTTTCTCCAGCAGGCTTATTTCGCTCAGCATAATGCTCTCCAGGTTCATCAATGCTGTTGTAAATGGTAAGAGTTCCTTATTTTTTACAGCAGCATAGTATTTCATTGTGTAGATGTACCACTGTTTTTTAATCCACTCATCTGCTGATGGGCACTTAGCCTATTTCCAAATGTTAGCTATTGTAAATTGTGCTGCAATGAATATAGGAGTGCATATATCCTTTCTGATTGGTGTTTCTGATTTCTTGGGATATATTCCTAGAAGGGGATTACTGGTTCAAATGGGAGTTCCATTTTTAACTTTTTGAGGAAACTCCATACTGTATTCCACAGTGACTGCACCAGTCTGCAATCCCACCAGCAGTGCAGGAAGGTTCCTTTTTTAACACATCCTTGCCAGCACTTGTTGTTTGTTGATGATAGATATTCTGACTGGTGTGAGATGGTCTCTCATTATTGTTTTGATTTTTATCTCTTAGATGGTTAGTGACTTTGAGCATGTTTTCATATGTTTCTGGGTCTTCTGTATGTCCTTTTTCAAAAGTGTCTATTTAGGTCCTTTGCCCATTTTTTTTTTTATTGGATCGTTTATCTTCTTTTTGTTAAGTTGTATGAGTTCCTTGTAAATGTTGGAGATTAAACCCTTATTGGAGCTAAAATTGGCAAATATGTTCTCGCATGTAGTGGTCTTTCTTGTTATTTTGTTGATGGTTTCTTTTGCTGTGTAGAAGTTTTTTATTTTGAGGTAGTCCCTTTTGTTTATTTTCTCCTTAGTTTCCATTGCCTTAGCTGCTGTATCGGTAAAGATATTGCGACAACATATGTCTGATATTTTGCTGCCTATGGATTCTTCTAAGATTTTTATGGTTTCCCATCTTACATTTAAGTCCTTTATCCATTTTGAGTTTGTTTTTGTGTATGGTGTAAGTTGGTGATGAAGTTTTTGTTTTTGTTTTTGTTTTTTTGCATGTATCTGTTCAATTTTCCCAACCCTATTTATGGAAGAGACTGTCTTGACTCCATTGTATGCTCTTGACTCCTTTGTCAAATATTAATTGAGCATAAGGCTTGAATCCATTTCTGGTTCTCTGTACTATTCCATCTACAATAATAATAGCCTAGGTGGTCGTCACTCCCTCATGCATCACACCCTAATATCATTATAAGGTGGCCTTCACAAGATGGCCATGTGCAAAGCAGAGTTGTGTCCCGGTGGAGCAGGCGGGTTGTGGTAGGGGAGGGTAGTTTGGGGCGATCAGGCCAGCCAGAGAGGGCAGTTGTGGGTAATCAGGGGATTGCTGTGGCTATTTGGGGTCTTTTTAAAATTTTTTTATCCCATGTGAATTTTTGGAGTTTTTTTCTAGGTCTGTGGAAATATTCCCTTAGTATCTTAATGGAGATTGCATTGAATCTATAGATTGTTTTGGGTAGTATAGACATTTTAATTATGTCCATTCTACTACTCCATGAACATGGTATATTCGTCCATTTGTTTATGTCTTTCTCTATCTCTTTTTTCAACATCCTGTAGTTTTCTGACTACCAATCTTTTACCTCCTTAGTTTATTCCTAGATATCTTAATTTTTTTTTGGTGTAATGGTAAATGGGATTTTTTTTCCCCCCAGTTTCTTTTCTGTGAGTTCATTATGGTGTAGTAAAAAAGCCATACAGCTGAAACCAGTTTGGCTCAGTGGATAGAGTGTTGGTCTGCAGACTGAAGGGTCCCAGGTTCGATTCCGGACAAGGGCATGTACATTGGTTGCAGGTACATCCCCAGTGGGGGGTGTGCAGGAGGCGGATGGTTGATGTTTCTTTCTCATGGATGTTTCTGGCTTTCTCTCCCTCTCTTCCTTCCTCTCTGTAAAAAAAAAAAAAATCAACAAAATATATATTTTTAAAAAGTCATAGATTTCTGGGTGTTAATTTTGAATCTAGCTACATTGCCAAATTCATTTATTAAGTTTAGTAGTTTTTTTATGGAGCCTT